TGTGTCTATCTGTCTGTCTATCTATCTATATTTTTGCACGTATCCGTCTCTGCAGCCGCAATCTCAGCATATGTGCATGCGCATATGCTGAGATTGTATGTTCGGCCGTACCTGTCAGAGTGTGATTTCAGCTTGCTGGCCTGCCTCGGTCAGAGCAGCAACGAAGAAAAGACTGGTCCCCACTGTGGTCCAGGTGGATTTGCGAACCAACAAGAAGCGAAGGCTCCGGCGCCGTATGACGCGACTGGCAACAGGCCTGACCAAGGAAGCTCGCCGCAATCGGATTTAACTACGGTTTCAGCCAAGATCTACAAGCATGGTAGCTCAAGACTTAGATTTGGGCAAGGCTCCGAAATTCCATCAACAAGCCCTTAACCAGACACACCCGTGAAGCCGGATATGCATTGAAAGTTCTAGGCCTGCTGATTGACAGCGGGAAAAAGGCAGCGCCGTGCATGACACGATTTGCATGTCGCTGCTTGGCAGCCTGCCAAAGCTTTTCGGATATGTCTCTTTATGGGCAGAAGCAAACATGCATGAGGTACGTACACTGCTCTCGCTTGACGCCGGCATTGTACCGACCTTGCGTTCTAATGGGAGAGTGGGCTGTTGGGCAGAGTCTTAACTTCAAGATTCTCCTCTTAGAACAACGGCGAATCTGAACAGACGAAACGGCGGATGTGGTGATACTGTTCCTATCGTTTTTTTGTGTTGCTGCTGTTCCTGCCTTGCTTCCTATGTCTATGTTTGCTAACCCCACCGTTTCCCGCTACTGTTGGTATGCATCCTTGTCACTGAGACTACTGCCTTCAATTCGCACAGATTCAGGTTCCGTGCCTAGGGTTTCGAAGCTTCGCAGCAGAAGCACAATGCACCGATCGCAATGCTGGTGATCATTAGCTGGCCTGTTTGGAGTGGTCCATTGTCCAATGAGTGACCACTGACCGAACAGTAGTAACGCTGACCATTCGATGTATCGGAGCAAGGTCAGTTTTACATCAGGTTCAGGATTAGATTCGATAAGAGGCGTAGACACTCAGGCAAAGGCGGACATGATGTAGGAAGGACGTGTCCGATGTTCTAAACCCCCCAGGTGCACAAGGAGACTTCCAGAAGGCCCAGAACGGGAAACGATGAAGATCTGAAGCGACCCAAAGAGAAGGAGGGGGATCGGAAGAAGCTGGGTAAGGCTGGCCAGGGTTTTGCTTTGACTGCTATCATTACTATTTCGGTCAATACTAGTATTGGTGAATTTCGATTATTGTTATCGTTAGAATTATCTCTATTATGAATGCCATGCAGCTATAAAGCGTGTTTTGGAACGGCTGCTTGGGCCTGTCAGAGATGAACACGACCAGCGATTTTCCTTGTTCCGTCTGAGTTGTAAGGATTTCCCCCCCGTTTGTTTCGCGTCGATCGAAGATGGATGACTGCTATTGGTACTCGTATATTCTGACAATTATTGGCACGTGGGTCGCCGAGGCGGCCGAGCTTTTGGCCTGTCCATGTGCGGCAGGTGCGCGTGAAAGATCCTCGGCGCCGGCACCGACAGAAGAAAGACGAGGAGCTAGCGTTTTTTTTGAGAACTGAGAACTTTTCCCGTATTTGGGTTTGCTTGGGGTCGCGATCCTGAGTTTAGCTTATTGCAAGGGGCACAAACCTTACATGGTAGAATCCTTTACAAGCGGACCCTCGGAAGGGAATGGCTACGGCTCGATCCAATTTGGCCGCAGAGTTTGCTGAAGCTCAAGGTACCTGCGAGCCAACGGCCTTCCGAACATGAAAAGTTTTGCAGCTTTCGCGCTGTTCGCGGTGGCGAGCCTGGCAAACGAAGATGCGGAGCGCGCTCGGATTCTCTCCGAAATCGAGGCGTTCAAAGGCCAGCTGCAGCAGCAGCGCACGATCATCCAACAGCAGTTCCTCCAACTCGCCAACCTGGAGGAAGACGAGGCGCGTCGCCTGCAGACCGTTGGCAACGTTACAGCGACTGCCTGGGCAACAGAGAAAGCCGCTCTTGATGCGACCGACGGGAGCATGGCGGCGGCCATGGACACTCTTTGGCTCTGCTTGTGCGGTGCTCTAGTCATGTTCATGCATGCCGGCTTCGCCATGCTGGAGACCGGATGCTGTCGCTCCAAGAACGCATCCAACGTGTTAATGAAGAACTTGGTCAATGTTTGCGTAGGCACTCTTGGATGGTGGATTCTTGGATACGCTTTTGCCTATGGGGGCGGCATCAACCGCTTCATTGGCACGACGAACTTCCTGGGTGAGGGTTTCTACACAAAGGATGCATCCGGAAACATCCTGGCCCCAGGTTGTGCCAACAATGCTTGTCAGAGCACGGCACTTGCGTGGTTTTTTCAGTGTCTAGGTATCGATTTAGGATAATGTTTGATTTCCCGTACTGTTTCAAAGTTTGGGGCTGTTGAAATCGACAGCTAGGTGGGCATTTTGCACAGCTGGAGCCACCATCGTGAGCGGAGCTGTGGCTGAGCGCGTCCAGGGTCCGACATACGCGAGTTATGCCTTCGTCATGACCTCGTTAATATACCCTGTGGTCGTGCACTGGGGTTGGAGTGGCAGTGGCTTCCTCGGAGACATCCTGGATGTCGGCGTCATGGATTTTGCTGGTAGTGGCATTGTGCACTTGACCGGTGGAGTCAGTGGACTTGCTGGAACCATCGTGTTGGGGCCACGGAAAGGGCGCTTTGTCAACCCAGAGGAGTTTGAGCCTCACAACCTTCCGCTCGTGGTTTTTGGAACCTTCGCGCTGTGGTTCGGCTGGTATGGATTCAACCCGGGTTCAACCCTGGGCATGTCCGACGGCGACACTGGTGCACTGGCGGCCCAAGTGGCCATGAACACCACAATCGCTGCAGCCACAGGCGGCATCACTGTCTTCCTGCTGCGGTACATAATCCTTCGCAAGTATGATGTGGGTGGGCTCTGCAACGGCATCTTGGCAGGGCTTGTTTCCATCACGGCACCGTGTGGGAACATTGAATGTGGCAGTGCATTCGCCGTCGGCTTTGTCGGTGCCCTTGTCTACCAGGGATCGTCCATGCTCCTACAGAAGCTGAAGATTGACGACCCTGTGGATGCAAGCCCAGTTCATGGCTTCTGCGGAATCTGGGGTGTGCTGGCTGCTGGTTTGTTCGACTGGGGCAAGGGCTTTGATCACTTCCATGGCTGGAGCGGTTGGGGTTGCATGAGGGATGGTAACGGTGGATGCCAAACAGGCATCAACGGTTCAGCCCTCGGCGCACAAGTCATCCTGATCCTCATGGTGATTGCCTGGGCCGGCACGATCTCGGCCTTGACCTTTGCCCTTCTCAAGTGGTGGGGGGCTTTGCGGATTTCTGAGGACACGGAGGACATGGGCCTGGATGCCAAGGCGCACTCGCCTCCAAAGGCCTATGCCTTCTCTGCTTGAGCCCTTTAAGGGCACACAAGCATGCAAGAGCCTACAGCCAGAAGCTGTAGGACTGTAGGAGTGGAGCTCTTACGCATCAGATGTCCAGGTTTTGAGGGTTCAGCAGACTACATTCCAGACACTCGAGTGTGTGCGAAAACGCTCACGCTTTTCCTGAAACGCAGAGCTACGGCACGAGCAGTTTGGTTGATTCTACTCGGTGGCACTTGTCTAAATCCTGCAGCCTTGGCAAGCGAATCTCAGTGCTAATTTCTTGACAAAGTAAAAGGAAACCTTACTGTAGCTGCACAAAGCCGGAGCGTGCTGCTGTTTGCTTCTGCGTAACGATTTTCGTGCTTGAATTAAGCCACACCCAAGCATATGCTCTTGGAAGAAAAGCGGGATGTTGCGTTTGGAATCTTCTGTAGTTTCTTTGCCCATCCAGCTTAGCTTGACGGCTGAAGACCGCACCCTCATCCTTTGCGATGATCCTTTGTTTCGGCAGTCTTTCAGTCCTAATGGTAGTATCTTTGGTGATCCTTCTCTAACCTGAAGGGCCCTGCACCGCAAGGTGGCAGAGTCCAAGCTGCGAGAGCACAGTGCTGTTACGAAGTTTTCATGAGTATGCTCACTCAGGTGTAAATGTTCTGCTTGCACCTAGGCTTCAGCTGTGTCCATGCTTAAACGTGTCTGCACTCACGAGGGGCCCCTTGGGCTGAAGGCTGCCGTGCAAGGTGAAAAGTGAAAGAATCGAGCGCCATCGCTTCGCTACGCAGCCGTGCTCCGCTACTCCGTTTTGTCAGTTGGCACCGGAGCTTTGTTGCGATCCAGGACCAGTTCGGGCTGACCCGTGGTTCCTGAAATCAGCTGCTTAGCTTCGGCGAGGCCGGCAACGACTTCGGTGCAAAATGGCCGGAAGCCCTGCAGATTCCGGCAGCGGCATCGTTTACAAGGCCAGAGATCCACACCCCCGGCTTGGAGAGGTGAGAAGCCAGAGTCTAAGCTCAAACCTTCTGTTGAGGACCCCACGCTGTGGGAGGCAGTCACGGACGTACCTGCGTCAAAGTGTGGACCGAAACTGGTGCAAGTGCTGACTGGTGCGGCGACGGAAACCGTAAGGCATCTCGAGGTGGAGGTGCTCACTAAGGACGATGGGTTTAAGCAAATGACAACGCCTTCCAGCGGTACCAGGAGACAGCGCTACCGAGGGCAATCCAGACCGCCCTCTATGGACCCTTGCGGTCCAGCCGCGAGACGATGCCGGAGTTCCTGGTCAGGCTCGCCCAGTCCCAGCAAGCTTGTTGAGACGAAGGAGTGGAGCTACCCTCTAAAGCGCAAGGCTACCTGATGTATCGGCAGGCGAACCTGGACAAAGACGTGGAAGGCCGGCTGCTTACTTGGCTGGCGGGTGACTGCTCCTTGGACCCCTGGCGTGGGGAGGACGACTTGCCCGACGTCCTTGCTAGCTACAAGGACATGCGTGAGAGTATGCGGCAGACTCGCAACGCCAGAGGCTTCTACCCGAAGGGCGCGGCGCTTCGTTTGGACCAATGCCAAATGCCGGCTCGCAGGCGACTTCAAAGGGAGCGGGCCGCGCTCAAAGGCCCGAGTCCCGTGCCCTTTCGATACAAGAGAAAAAACTCAGAACCCGTTGCCGGACTTGCGGCCAGATAGGCCACTGGAGCAGAGAATGCAGACAAGCACGGCAACGGGAACCAATGTCTTCGGCGCCCTCGGCATCTTCCAAGACGAGTTTATTTTGGTCCTCGGACCAAGGCGGCCCGAAGCTCGCCTTCTGCCTCAAGTACGGACGGCCATCAGGATGCCGTAGGGTCGGACCAGACCTCGCAAGACGATGCAAAAGAGAAGGCTATTCCGTTTGCAGGGGTTACAAGGTCCCGGAGGTTCGTGGTATTGGCGGCCGTGCCACCACGATACCAGCTGGCAGGCTCGTATACCCAAGCACACCATGTTCCGGAGCCACAGCGCCTGAGAGCCGTTGTGATTCGGCACTTGCATCAGGTCGACGCCGAGCAGCACGTTCGGCGCGTACGATCGTACTTGATGCGGTCCGGGAGAACACTTATCATCCCATGGCGTCTCATGAGCATGTGGCTCGCCGAGCCGCTGCCGCAAAGTTCCCGAAGCTGTCTTGCCGCACTCGTGCGCAGGGCTTTCGCCCCTCTAGGGATCGACCCTTATCACAAAGGAGTGTTCGTCTCTCGCCGCTGGGCCCGAGCCATGCGGCACGCTGCGGCACGCAAGCCTCCCAGGCCCGCTAGCACTCTGCGTCGTTGCCGGTTTTCGGCAAGATCGTCAGCTCGTTCCGGTGGAGCTGCTGAACATCATCTCCCAGCAGCGCCTCCAGCTGAAGACGCACGCACAGCTGGACATGACGACCGGCAACTTCCTACGACCCGGCAATGGAGACGATGAGCTTCCTCGAGCAGCACGCCGGCTACATGGACCAGGCGGTGCAGACCCAGACGCTGCCCGTGGTGGCGGAGTTCAAGAGGCTCAAGCATACCGAGGAGGAGACCCGGCAGCGAGCGAACTGCTTCCCCACGACGGACACGCAGAAGGACTGGGAGATCGCGGGGACCGGGCTCAAAGAGGCGATTGATGGCAAGGATGAACGAATTCCACTCAGCGCTCTGAAGCCGGAGGACTCAAGCAGCCCGAGAGCGCCTGGGATCTGTGTGACAGAGGAGCACAAGGCCCTGCACGAGTTCGACGGCAAGGCCTGCAAGGACGGCCCGCGAGTGCTCAAGAAGGCTAACCGGGGCCATGATCGAGAAATCCCCGGCGAATCGGTGTACTTGGTTCTGAACGAGCCCGGCTTGTTCGTGAACGGAGCACCAGGACTCGATCGTGCAGTATGTCGAGGCATGCTTTGGACCAAGACCGAGCATGGCAGGTCTTTTAAGTCCGGAACTGCATCGCCTGGTCCATGTCGGCGGCGTGCTGCTCGAGGAAGCTCATCGTCTCCATCGCCCGGTCGTACTCGAGGACGTTGCCGGTCGTCATGTCCAGCTGTGCGTGCGTCTTCAGCTGGAGGCGCTGCTGGGAGACGATGTTCAGGCAGCTGGTCCTGTTCAGGCAGCTGGTCCTGCTGCTCCAGGTCTTTTGTCAGGAATGGCCACTGTTGGCGGACTTCTACGTGGTGACTTCTGCAAACCGCCTATGCCTATTTTCTGTCCTTCGGCCATGGCGTCCGCCCTGGCTAGGCATGGGAGTAAGGCGGCAACGACAGCGCCTGTTGGGCAGACTTGGTCATTTTAATCTGAAGGCCCGATGGGTCGGATAGCCTTACCCATGTCGGGCCCGTCGACTTTGGGGCTGTAAGCAAATCGGCTCTCAACAAGTTGACTGGCACCAGCAAAGGCACATCCTCCAAAACTACCGTCAGTTCCAGTACTCCCGAAACCCTTCCGAGGCACCAGGACCACAAGAAGTGGCGCACGCATGCGTTCTCTCCTCGAGAGGCAAAGATGTCCGAGAATATTATAACATCAGAGACCTTGCCTCTACACCTCCGCGCGACGTGTCTACAAAGGCGGTAAGGACGAAGCCGAGGACGACGACTGGAGAAGAGAGCACCGGCCACGGATAGTGTGGCGAAGAAAATCGGGCGAACGGCCAGGCGAGCCCCCTTCGAGGAAAATTGAAAAGCCGTTGGGTGGTGACAGGAGTGACAGGCTTCGAGGACCCCACATCCTTGAGCTGGACCGGTACTGCCCGACGGTGGTCATGCAGAATCTCAATGTGATCCTTCAGATTGCGGCGAGCTCTGAGAAAATGCCTGGAAGCGCGGCGACTTGAAGCAAGCTTTTGTGCAGTTAGGCCCTCTCACTCGGGCCCAGGGCGTCATCTTGGTTCCCACGGAGTGTATGGGCTGGCGGATGCACCGCTGTGCTGGCGAAAGACGTTGAAGAGTTACCTCACAGAGACCCTGAATTACACGGCCGCTTGGACCAAACGATCTTCACGCTACACCTACAAGGCCAGCTGGAGGGGATCATCGCGGTCGAGATAGACCTCCCTCCTGTGTCAAGGAGCACCAGAACCGGATGCAAAGGCTGCAGGAGAGATTCCGCTTCCTATGGCCGGATCCGAGAACCCAGCAAGCCGAGGATTTCACCGTCTCGGTGGACATGTACAAGTTCGTGACGGAGAGACGCTCAAGTTGGGCTATCGCGAGGCTGGAGGAGCGAGCCCGAGCCCGGCAGACGAGAGCCGCCATCGGTTCTTTAGCCTGGTGTGCCTTCACGTGTGAGCAAGTTTGCCGTGAAGGACATCGTCTCGCTCAACAAGGTGATCCAGAAGTCAAGGGCAAGCCGGACTTCGCCCTGACATACTTCCCTGTGCCGCTGGAGAAGCTGCGCTTCGGTGGGGCCACGGACGCGTCTTTCGACAACTACAAAAACGGCTCTTCACAGGGAGCAGTGGGAGTCCTGGCCTACGACATCGAGGTGTGCATGGGAGTCTCCGCCAGATGCTCCTTTCTCTGGTGGAAGAGCGGCAAGCTCAGGAGGAAAGTCCCCTCGACCTTGGCGGCGGAGACGCAGGCGTTAAACTGAGGCCTCGGGGGGAGCTGATGTGGACAAAGGCCATCTTTACGACGTGACCAGGGAGAACTTCGACATGCAGGGCTTCCTCCACAATGTCAAGCACCAGGCAAACTTTGTTTTTGCAGAAGGCCGACAGCGACGTCAAGCTATACGACAACGTAATCACGGAGGGTGCCCAAGCATGCACACCTCCACATAGCACTGGAAGTCCATGATCGTGGACCTGGGCCGCGGCAACCCGCAAGCGCTTTACAACTCCTCGAGACCGGCGTTTACAAGATCGCGGTGGAGGACAACAAGCTCTCTGAGGGAGTAGTGCTTCGGGCCACTGAAGCCTAAAAAAAGTTGTTCGGTGCTGTAAATTTTCTGCTTGCACCTAGGCTTCAGCTGCGTCCAGTGCTGACACGTGTCTGCACTCACAGAGGCCCCTTGGGCTGAAGGCTGCCGTGC